ATGATGACGAAGCCTCTGGACTTTTGGAAGACCGTATTGTTCTCAGACGAATCAATATGCGCTCAATTTTTGGACAGTGGAAGGATATGGGCCTGGAGAATGCCTCACCAAGAGTTTTGGCTCAACAGATTGCAGCCAACTGTGAAGCATGGTGGTTTCAGCATGATGGTTTGGGGAGCTGTTTGGGTTGGTGGGAGATCAAGCTTTGTGAAGTGCGTTGGCAACATAAATTTTGCGAAATACGCCGAAATATTGGAGGAAGGACTCTTGCCACTTTATTCCTCGGGTTTCGTGGACAAGAACACAACGTTGTTCCAAGAAGATGGAGCACCGTGTCACACTGCTAGAAACACCCAAAAGTGGCAGGAAGAAAATGGTATCCAGAAGTTGCCCTGGCCGAGCCAATATCCTGACATGAGCCCCATCGAAAACCTCTGGGCCATACTCGACCGGCAAGTCCAGAAACAACAACAACAAAAAAAAACAACAACTTCGAAGAGCGATCTACTCCAAGTTTTGAAGCAAGAGCGGGCGAAAATCCCTCAATCTAAAATTGACGAGATGATTCTCACGATGCCCCAAAGGATCAACGAACTTCACGAAGCGAAAGGAAGATCTGATAGATATGAATTAAATTATAAATATATCAATTCATGTGAATATGACTGAAAAATTCCATTTTTTCTGAAAAGGTAGTGTCTATTTGTGACCACGCTGTGTATATTTAAATTTGTTTCATACATTTAGGCGATAAAAAATTTCTCAGAACTGCCTAAAAAAGTTACAAAATAAAAAGAAATTTCATTTTATTCTAAGCCTCGTGTATCAAAAAAGGTACATCTTACTCTTGTCACTTTTTAGCTTCATTTTCCAGTTGTCTGTAATCAACTGCTGTTGTGTGAAAAGTTTACTGAATTACTTATTTTCTGACAATGTTATATGTTGCATGTAAAGTACATAACAGTGCTACTTCATGTACATTATGTAAACAAACTATAATGTAATATCATAAAGTAATTTATGTTATGTTGTTGTTACTTAGAAGTATAGAACTTTGAAAAGTTCAGGTTCTGGCCGAGTTATACACTTTTGCTATAAAGGTAAATTAATATAAACACATACAATATATATAAGATGGCAATTCTTCTAATCTATTTAGTATAATACTAAAGGAAACCTCAACCATCATCAAATGTGAAATAAAATCATTTTATTAAACAAAAAGTACAACTTTTTGACCATCGTGGGCCCTCTACTGGCACCGGTATCAAACATTAACAGATAAAGTATTACCCGACGTTCACAGGGTTTCAAGTGTACATCGTCCTTTTTTTAATCTTTTAGTTTCCCGAAAGGTGTCGAAGGCCGCTTGGAGGGGGTCATCTGTTTTAACCACTCGCACCACTATACAGTAGTGTGTTTTCTGTCAGTCAGCCAGTAGACACTAAAATGACGTCACATAACGTGACGTTAGTAAAACGTGTGCATGCCACGAATCACGAGAAGAATTATGCACTCTATAGGTTACAACACAGCATGACATATGAACTTCGGTTGTTAGACAACTGCCTCCCGCAGCGACATCTTTTTATATTAATGTAACTGACTAAAGAATTATCTAAAACTGTTTAACCCTCTCGCACCGGCTATCCTTTACTGCGCATGTCACGAGGTTTTAGTGACTTACATTCAAATTTTAATTAAAGTACATTTTGTTTATGTTATACCAATTAGATTAGCTCACAACTCACAGTTCTAGTGTACTCGCGTTATATAACTTTGTACAGTTTCACATTGATATTTTATTACAATAAACAAAATTTAACATGAAACCTGTGTTATTTTCTCCTACTTAAACAGTTCTAAATAATGAATTATTCTATGAAGTACAAAAAATACGTGTGTTTTTTTTTCTTCCCATTTTTAGCCAGTTTTATTAATATAATAAGACATGGCCGTGTGGCGGGGGAGGGGGTCAGTTGTCAGGTTTCAAAAGCAGCAGTAAGAATATTTTAATTTTGGTTTTATATAATCTTAAGAGAGAACACTTTCGGAGACTCTGCGCAAGTACATCTTATTGGTGCATCTTCTTTAATGTTCCTTTTATCAAAATTCTTCTCCTTAAACTGTTGTTTGTTACGTGTACTACGTTCGTAAATCTGTAAGTTGTTACGTGTACAACGTTCGTAAATCTGTAAGTTGTACCGTGTACAACGTTCGTAAATCTGTAAGGGGGGGGAAGAGATCTGGTGTGTTTCTTAATCCTACTGTTTAATTTACGTCCAGTTACACCTAATATGAAATTACCAGATTATTTTAAAATATTTTTATATATAATTGTGTGTTTAAAATTAAGCACAAAGCTACACAATGGACTATCTGTGCTCTGCCCACCACGGATATCGAAACCCGGTTTCTAGCGTTGTAAGTCCACAGACATACCGCTGTGCCACTGGGGGAATTTTTTATGTATAAATTCATGACTGTGGGGATCTATATGAACTCTCTTTAGTGACTGCTTAATGTTTACCTGGTGTTTGTATTTATAGAATTTTGTTAGTATATATATTTTTTTTTCTGTTTTCAAATTTTGATACTTTGATATAACTTGTATTAAATTATTTAAATTCACATCTTTTTATTTGTGTGTGTGTGTGTGTGTTATCTGCTTTGTACACCGCTGGGAATCGAACCCCGGATTTCAGCGTTGCAAGTCCGCAGATTAGTTTCATTTTCATATATATTTTTGCGATTATTATTTGAAACTTCTTTTTATATTCAGTTAATGATTTTTTTTATTTTTGGTTTTGGAAAATGGCACTTATTTTTCTAGAATTTTCTATGTTTTGTTTTTAACAATCAAATTGCGTTTATTACGTAAGGGGAGGCTATACTGTAGCTACAGGCAAGTGTCACAATATAATTTGTTGTATTGAGTGGATTGATATATGTAACAATAATAATTACGACAGAATATAAGGCATACTTCAGTGTTAAAACCTTCTTCTTGAAATGAAATAAAATTAAATAAATCCATAACGAGTCAGTCCACGTTTCCTGAAAAAATGCAAGAAATAAAAGATGTACTTACCAAAATTTATAAAACTTGCGCTTCTACCAGAAAATACAAAAATAAAACAAATTTAAATAAAACAGAAAAGAAAATTTTAAATGGAATCCCAAATCAAAAAATATAGAAACATATCCGTTATAAAAATAACACATGAAAAAATCATGCTTGAAAAATATTATCAGAATCCTTAAATATGCTCCTTAATGTCATCAATATAAATGGACTGAATCAAATATTCATCAGTTGATGTAAACAGAAAAAAAATAATATTTTAATCAACTTCAAAATTCAACCAAGAAACAAATAATTCTGGAATAGTCAATTTATCAAGTGTTCCGTTGACAGCTACTCAAACGAACGTTTTGGATAGAGAATTTTAGCATGCAGTGACTCGAATTTATATTCGAATATTGGAAATTATGAAAACTAACCAGACGATTTGTGCAACAAGTCCTGAAAACAAACAAAAACACTAAAGAATATTCAACCAAAACAATGAAAGGAAACAAACATCTGAAAACATTGATTGAAAACTCAATAAAATGACTCTCTGTAATAAGTCCGTTTCTAAAAAAAAATTCCATAAAACAAAGAGAATTTAAAGAAAATTTTAAAGGGATTTTCTTGTAGGATAGGGATCAATTTAAACTATGAATTTTAACAGGAATTTTACTAACGTATGGACATCTTTCGAAACATGCTATTAAAATTTGGAGACACATACAAATCATAAAATTAACAAAAACTTATATGTGTACAAAAGATACTGGTAAAAAATTGTACAATTATTAAATAAAGTTTATACAGAACCCTAAAATCATGGAGTTTTTAAAAAGTAACTTTTTATTAATAGGAAGTTACTTTAAAAAAAACAAGCCACTTAGTGTTACCTCCTGTGTTAAGCACGAGGAATCGAACTCCGGATTTTAGCGTTCTAAGGCTGTATATTTACCTCTTACCCATCGGAGGACGTTACTTAAAGATCAATCTCAATTGTAATCATTAAAAATTATATAACACTATTTTATAATTCCAACCCCCCTTTTATCAAATATAAAATATTGAAGAATAAACGCTCTGTTAGCCACATTGATTAAAGAAAGAAATTATTACGAAAAAAAAGAGGAATCCTCAATAACCGCGGCACTTGAAATTCAGTTAAGCAGGATTAG